CACTGATAAAATAATACTTTTCTTTACTTCCTAAATTGGTTTCCTGAGCTCTCAGTTTCATTTTCTGTTTTTGCAAATGTATATATGTGTTCTAGGAAAGACAAAAATCTGTCCTTAACCTCCTCCCTTGATGTCCTCTGCGTCCCTCCCAGTTCTGTCCCTCGGTTCCTGACCCCTCTGTGCTGAAAAGCGTGATCACAGTGTGACAGCCTGGGAACCAACCACTGATGCCCGAACTGACCCTTTGATGTGGAATTAAAGACCCAGGAGTTCGTTCTGCCACAGTAGCAGCACCACCATGGCACACAAAGGAAAACACAAAGATATGCACTCACTTTGTGAAACCACTTACACCAAAGAGTAAATGTCTGAAATCTAGACCTGATCAAGAATCTCTATGTATCGTTTTTTTTTTTTAGCTTAGTGTATTGATAAGAAGAACATAATCCCATTAATGAAACTCATGACATTTGGCCCTTTGGCATCTTTTGTCAGCATGAAAATTGTAAATGTATCTTAATCAGTTTATTATCTTAAACAATTATTAGGTAACAAGCTCCAGTTGTGTCACGTCAAACAATATCAAAGTGCCAATAAACCTAATGGTTTCATCAATTAGCTTGTCTTGCAAAGCTTTACCTTTTTGCTATCAGCATGCAACTTTATCTGGTAAGATTTTAATATTTTGCTCCGAATCTTAAAGATGAGGACTTTGAACAATGCCATATGCTTCTGCTTGAGATTCTTATTTTAAAGGAATAAGTACCTTCTTCAGATATGCTGTTGTATTCATAGTCAGTCCTCTTAACTTCTCATCCAGTTGAAAGTATTGTGAAAATGTGAATGAAATATCATGACTGTCTCACAGTTAGCTGCTAACATTGCATAAGTCATGTTTCACATAATCACTATTTCACACTGTTTCTTTAACCAAGCTTTAAATTCATTTCATATTCTGATTCAAATTCTAAAATACATAGAATGACTAAATGTACCAGAATTTCTAGTCTAGTGATAACTGACACATTAAGGATTTGTTAAATACAAAAAAACCCCAGCTACATCTTTTCCCATTGACTGTTAAAATCGAATCTTGTTGACCCAGTATGATGTACTGTTCCAGCTTCTAATCCGACTGTAAGATTAAAACATGAATGAGTCTTCTGATGCTGGAGATGACCAAGGACTCCAGCCCACCAGGGCCAGTGTCCTACAACTTAAACATATGACAGTGGTCTGATACATCTAAATCAAATGGCAACGTTTTGTCTTCAGTATGAAGGTTCTCCAGAGTCACAACCAAGGCCCCAGAGGACTGACCCGTCTCTAATCTAAACTTTGCAAATATTTAAAATATGCAACAAAAGAAAGCAATTTTCTGAATAAAGTTGTGGGACATTTCATTGTTCTTAATGGGATACCTTTAAATAAGCAACAGCAGAGAATGGCAGCATACTGACCAGCAAAGGTACATGTTTATACTTCATATTTATATTTATCTTACCACTGTTACCTGTCATGTCCCGCACTTTATGTCAGTTTTTAAATGTCAGTCTTGTATATTTCTTGTATATTGCAGAGAGTAAACGTAATTTCATTTCCCTTGTATGTCTTGTACATATGTAGAAAATGACAATAAAAGCTGACTTAACTTGACTTGACAGACTCTGTCTCATGCTACATTAATAACTATATAGATAAAGAGTCTTTTACCAAATGTAATCATCAACTAATCAAGAAGTGAGGACATCTAAAAGAATGGCTGTTTAGGAGTTACTTTTATTGCCAGAGGCCAGTTAAGGCTTCTTTTCTGATTTCGTGCTCCTGACCTTTTTTGTCTCCCAACCACTAAGCCTACCAGTTCCCGTCTGAGGGGTTTGCCTGAACTGTCTTTGGACTCCTGGATCTCTGGGCTTGCCTGTTCTAATCTGTTTGCCTGACCTGGCTTCAGACTCCTGCATGTTTTTGGGGCTGCAGCATCTGGGACACTCTGGGCACTCTTATTGGCAGCCACCGGCTGGATCCTACCTTGTTCTCTGGGCTTGGAGTGAACTAGTAAACCAGGTTAGTGACTCATGTTCATAATCTTCCTCCATTAGATTTATGTGGTCACTAACCTGTGTTTCTCTCCGAGTTTCCAGTCTCAGACACCCTAGCAGCTGCTACTCAGAATCTGCCGTTTTTAAATAAATGTTTTTCAATTATCCAACTATCTGTCTTGCCTCGAATACTGGGTCCTTAGTTCTGAGTCCTGACAACTAATGTGTATAAATTGGTAAAGGAAAATCTGTCCCAGGGCATAATGGAATGAAAAAGGCTGTATGGCCAGCAGCCCAAAAGCTACTTTGATGATAATAAATGTGTCCATTCAAAAAGGTTTGCTAATGACATATCAGTGATGAGCTTGACTAGAACCTTTTATGCACTGACTTATGGGAAGGGTGGAGGATAATGTGACAAAGTGCAACACAACCTCCATGCTGATTAAAAAAAAAAATAAAAAAAAATAAATAAAATATAGGCGGCTGGTGAGCACCATGAAGCATAAGTAATCATTAGTTGTCTCACAGTAGAGAAATAGTTAAAAGTCTAAAGCTGGGAGTCAGTCTGAGGAAGGATCTTATCTGCTTCACAAACTCCATTATTTTTTGTTGAAAACTTTTTGTTCATTTATTTGTTTTTAGCTTATTTGTTTAATTTTAATCAGTAATTTTTACATTAATGCTCTTTCACTAGTATAATTTCTGTATTTTGATTTTGCATTTGGGAAGAAATTCTTTTTTTTTAACAGTTGAGAATAACAAATGTAATGTAGTCCTAAAACACAACAAAAGGTTTAGCTCATGCATATACCTTACAGAAGGTATAAGCATGAGCTAAATAAAAGGCTTGTGATGCCGGAATGATGAAGAGAGAAGAGCAACTTGCTTTTGACTTCAAAGAAGTCCCAAAAATAGATTAAGAGAGTTAAGTTTAGATATTTAAAGATGGGCTAATAAAGAAAGGTTGGGACATGAGTTATTCATTGTGACAAAAATGTATTAAAACCACTAAAAACTCATGGTGGGATAATCATATTGTTCCTTATAGCATCCAGATCTATATATTGGAGCACTTTTAGGGTTTTCCATAGATTACAGAAACCTAATCTGTTTAACTAAAATACTTAATTCAATAATCTTTTTAGAATTAAGCTTAGCCTCTGTTTACAATTATATAAAAACACTTATAGTAAAACTTGAAGTTAACTTAAATTATTAATTATCACTCATCTAATCCACCGGCGCTTGCTGCTTTATATACGGCTCAGACCAGCTATCAGGGCCAGATCATTACATTTATTGGTTTGAGTTTGAGTTGGAGATCATTGTTGATTTCTATAGTTCATGCTCTCGTTCTCATAGGCGAGTGGTGAAGAGGTTTTTTCTTTAATTATGTCTTAGTGTTTCCTGATAACATCCTTTCTCTTATCCACTGAATGTGCCCTGTTCCTGTTTTGGCTTAGTGGAGGGAGCTAGTTTAAAGTTCCGTAGTTTTCCCGATATCTTGTCTTGTTCTGTCTCTCAACCACTGAGCCTACCTGTCTGAACTCTCTGTGGACTAATGGAACCCTGGATGACCAATGACCGGGCTACAGACTCCTGGATATCAGAACCATCCTGTTCTGAACTGTTTCCCCGACCTGCCTGTTCACTGGGGCTGCTGCATCTGGTTCACTCTGGGCAGCTCCCGCCGCATCTTGTTTGGCAGCCCCTCGGCTAAATCCTGCCTCTCTCTGAGAAGTTGGCCTGAACTGATAAAACTGTTGAGTTACTCATAAGTTGTGGTGTCTAGCTAATCCAAAACATATGAATAACGTGTGCCTAACTTCTGCGTAAGTTATCAAGAACTTATCTCTAGTGCAAATCAATGTATTTGACAACCGCACAACCGCTGAACGTGTTTGTAACTTACAGCTACTGTACAATGTCGTACTGGCAGCATTTTGGTATAAAAGGGGGATCACAGGAGGACACCGTCAGTTCTCCTGCAGACTTCATGCCCATCATAGGGTGAGCAAGAAGGTGAGTTGATGGATCCTCCCTGCGTTCACACCCACGGCCACAACCAACAGACTTCCTAGCAGACATGAAGCCGAACCTGCTTCAACTGTAAACCCTCTTTCTTTCTTTTTCTTTATTCTTTTTGGGTGGGCAGTAAACAGCAGCTAGGTTGATACCTCTGTCAAAGACATCTTTTTATGCAGACCAGGCACCTCTGGGCATAATTTCATGTGTATTACCCTGCCATGCACTATGCATAAGTTGGGCTGTCTTTGGACATAAGTTCTGGACTCATTGTGAATACTCTATGTATATGGCCAAAATTTAAAAAATACATAAAAAGGTCTGCGTAGGCCAGTGTTTTAGAAGTTTCTGGGATATCAGGCATACGCTGTATAAATCGCAAGGTGTGACAGGGCCCTAAAAAAGAATGCCACTGATGGGCGGTGCCCAGACTCTCCCCGAAGCCCCTGCAGATCCGCAGGTCCACAGCTCAGCATTCCTGTTATGTTTTTGAATAAATTACTTTGAAACCTTACCAAATGTCTGTCTTGCCTTGAATTCTGGGTCCTACATTCTAAGCTCATTACAAGACCACTCACAAAAATTTTTAGAATCAAATGTGCAGACTGTTCTAAACATCTGGATAAGCATAGGACGATCTTTGCAACGTTCATAACCATAAACTGAGGGGATAAAGCAGAGAGCAAGACGGCTAAATTCAATTAGCAATAAAAAAAAACTATTTGTTTTCCCTGGCTCAAAGAGTAACAGGTAACACGGCTGAGTGTTTTCATAAAATGTGACATTCTGTTGCCTGCTAATTACTGTAATCATGTAATTAAATATCATTACTGGAAATGAAATTGCCTGACAGTCCGTGCAAGATAGTCAAGCTACTATTTAAATGTCTCTTCACAACAGTGTGAAGGAAAGACACTGGGAGGCTAAACTCACCTTTAGCCATCCTGTTGAGGACCATGTCGATCAGGATGTAGGTTCCAGTCCTTCCAGCGCCATCACTGTAGAGACAGAGCAACAGTCAGTTATATTAGCATATCGTTCCAGTCATGAATATCTATTAAAGCTTTGAAAGTCCACTATTATAAGGAAAGGAGTTAAACCTGCTTTATTTGGCTTCAAAATTTGAAAGCAGGATTTGAATGAATCAAGCTGTTATATTGAGATCTACAAATTGAAATAAAAACACACTGATAAATAACAATAAAAATGTCACTCTTTTTGTTACAGAAATGAACGTTTAAACGTGGTTTCCCCGAGTCCAAGCAATAAAGATAGATTGGTTTAAGTAATATTACCCAATATTTATTTTATGAGATGCATCTCTGAACTCACGGTCCTGACAGTAAAAGTGCCAGCTTTAGACAATAACTGAGTGATTAACCAAATGGATACATAATGTTTAGGGGCATTTTTACATAAAATGTACATGTATTTATGTTTAAAGCATTGCCTATTATTAATTTCCCATTTTTAGGTATAAAAAAGGGAAAATATTGTTAAGCTGCAATAACACAGGTTCCTATCTTGGATTGCACAGAAGCCCATCTTTTTTTACATCTTGAAGTGGATTTTTGTGGAACATTAAATCCAGCCATGTTGTTTATAGAACAAATGCAAATGCCAAACTTAAGTGAGATCAAGTATATGAAAATCCCTGCTCGGCTGCATTGGAAAAGTGTAATCATCATAGGAATATATAGTGTTGCGCTTGGGTCTTTGCTGCCATTTGTGTTGCTGTAGCTGTGAACTAAAGGATGCATATGGCAGGTATAAGCTGTGGTGCTCATTCAGCAAACTTTTCAATAATGCAAAAACAAACAACTGTGGTGGCCTGATTTAGGTGGTACATGCTAGGTGCTACATGCTTAAAACTTAAGGACAGAAATGTGTTATATTTTTTCCTACAGCAGTGTATCATTCTTTGATTGTAACACAATGCAGGTCTAAATCAGGATAGTGTGGTAATACCCTTATAGCCATTGTGTAGCAGTCAATAGACACCCTCAGAAGACTAGGTTACTTGCGTATTTTGATTTGATTATAAAAAATGAAGTCATCTTTATGGCCTTATTTTTATAGTAATGAATTGCCAACAGCTAGTAGTAACGGAGAGGGCTCTTTAGGCCTATTTCCCCAATATTTGCCACCATTTTAAAAAGATGACAACAAAGCTGAAATGCTGTCAAAAAATCCCAATTTAAATCTCAAATTCATTATGCAGTTGTAAATAAAAGCAATACAGCCATGTTATACTGTACGCTCCCAACAGAAACTGTAACAAGATTAGCATATGCTGCTGCTAAGTTTACCAATTTGGGTTATAAAATCCATCAAATTATTTATTTATAACACATAACGCATTGTTTCATCTTTCTCTGTAAAAAAAAAACTAAGACTGGAAAAAAAGGCAAAAATGTATTAAAAAACTGTTAGAGAAAATGATTTTATCTTACAAGCTAATTTTAAACATGTGAAAAGAGGAATGCACCCTAAAGCATTTAAGAAGATTTATTATCCTTGAATGCTAAATTGTGTGTTTAGATATGCATATAAAGCCTGTTTGCTTCCTATTATTCTGAAAAACAAAATACTAGGAAAACAATCTCTGTTATAATTAACTAGATCTCCATTTTAGATTTAGGCTAGGTCAGGACTATTATATGAAATAGGTTTACAAATAAGGTCCAATATGGGGTAGATGTTAGAGTATACTTCCTGCTATTAATGGAATTACATACAAATTCCTTACATGGAGAGAGAGGTAAACATTTATCTGTTTGTTGCTAAGAGCTTTTTCTCTAAGAATTTCTTCATTTTCACTGGTAAGTCTGAGTTATTTGCAAAATAGCAGAAAAAAACAGCATGTGCTTTCATCACAAAGTGATCAAAACATCTGATATCTATTTAAGACAGAAGTGAGAGTGAACATGTCAAGATGTCTACTGCCACATGTGACTCTATTCAGTTTGGCACTGCCAGGAAAAAAAAAGGAGGAAAGCAAAAGAAAAGTAAAAGATGAGATGGAAATGGACACCAGAAGAAGGATGGAGCAGGAGAGCTGCTGTTAGGTTATCGAATTTCGGCATCTGCACTCCTCTGTTCGCTCACTTCTCTTCCTGATTGCTCCGCTCTGCTCTCTGTATACATTAGGGCGATAAATGGCACTGCAAGGTTGGCTCTGAGAAACCCATTTGGAAATGAAAGTCTCCACGCTCAGTCTTTCCGTTCTCTGTCGTTACGCAAGGGTAGGCCTGCACTTGGATTCATGAAGGGAATATGGGTCCAGTTTCAACCTTTTCTGCAAAACTTGGCCTTGTGTTTTGCATGTTTATGATAAAGGGTTGGTTGAACCCAATCATCTGTGTTATTTTGACTAATGAAAAAAGTGGGAAATTTCAGATTCAAACAGGTGGTTAAGAACTATTCAAGAAGAGACACCCTTGACTGGATATCTTTACTTAATTCTTAACTACCTTCTTAGATCTTCTTTAAGTGGAGCAAGGATAGAAAGACTAAATTATTTAGACATAGGCTAATAAAGGTAAATGTTAAGCACTGTAAAAAGCTCAACCATAGTATGTTGCACAGTATATTGTTTTTAAACTAATAGGGTCACATTATAACAGGGAGTCAGGGGTTTAGAGTTTCAATACAATGCAATTCAAACAAAATTGCTCAATTTGTGTTTGTTAGGTTTCTGTAATAGTTTCCTAATGGATGAATTTAGATCAATATCATTTTACAGGTTTTTATCCTCATTGGAAGGAGTCCAAACAATGTGAACAGCTGCTCTGCCAACAAGGTTGAAGACTCTGTGGCAAATGCCGTAAGGAATGTGGACAAAAAAAGGATTTCGCAAAAGTTAGAAGGATGTAGGGCGTTCTGTTAGAATAGCATACGCTGTCAGATCGGCATACTTTTTTCTAAAAAGTATGCGCGCACATACAGTACGCTACAGAGAATTATTCCCTAATTGAATTTTAGTAGCAGTGTACCGGCTAGCAAAAACACTTTTTTCCTAACTTTAAAAAAATAAATTTAGCTTTGATTATACTGTTATTTATCTGTTGTAAAAATGGCGAGACCTGATTGAAGTTTCCAGGATGTTGAGAGAAGAAGCCTCTTTACATAAAACCATATTAGTCAACTTAATTTAGTATTAAAATGACGTCTGTGCGGGAATTTGAATTTGGTTCGATTTCGCTTTTAGGTTTAAAATGATAGAAAACATAGAAACAGGTTCCTTTTATACACCCAAAACTGCTGGCTAACAATACCAGAAAAATTTAAAAGAGGATTAATTAATTACAGACTATTTTAGCTTGGAATAGCTAGACAGAGAAATAGATTTCAGAAAAAAAAATTTTTTTTTGCTTGAATACCTAAAACTTAATCAACAGAATTAACAACCAAAACTCTGTTCTTGTGAGCTTTATTTGTCTGTTGAGCCTTAAACATGAAGATTAAATAAACGTAGATTATATGCTTTTAGAATTGTAGTTTTTTTTTTATTTTATTTAAAATTTCTATTACATCAGTTGACAAAGTTTGCCTGCCCACTTAGCAATAGTTACCTACAAGGTCAAATGTGCATCCACCATCACTTTGCATGACAATGGCATTTGAGCAAAGAGCTGCTGCTAAGAACATTGCAGCTTAAACTGTTTTCTAGATCATAATAAACTTCAGAGTGAGAGATTCAATGCGATGAAGCTGTGTAGGACATTCAAGGGTATCCAATAAGCAAAAAGGGGTGAAAGTTATAATCATGTTCCTATCTGTGCAGAGACTTCCTAGCTTTAAAAGGAATTTATATAGCTGGGTGAAAATCTTGGGGCAATGTCCCGGAATTAAGAAAGAACCAACACAAGAGACTTCTGTCCAAAAAAAAAACATGCAAGAAACACCAAGGATTGATGGAAAATCTGCCTTTGGTGTAGAAAGTTAGATGGATGAACTTAACTTAAAGGTTATCTTTTATGATGAATTATATTTCAGGTTATTCAGGATATTTGGAGAAGGAAGAGTTAAATTAATTTAAATTAATAAATTAATTTACATAGCTTGTATATTAGATGTTATGGTAATTACGGAAATACTAATGACAAATCCATGTTGTAGCCAATTTAAGGAAGAAAGACTATGTTGATAGGGTAATCCGGTGTCAAGTATCTCAGAAATTGACTGCAAATATGTTAAAAAAATATTTACAGGAAAGAAAGCAGCTTTGCAGTCATTCTCACAGAGCGGCATCAGAGCCACACTATATGACCAAGCTGTTCACGATCCTCTTAAAACAGAACAGGTAAAGGATTTTAATACAAAATATGGTGAAAGCTGTAGTTAAAGAAAATAAAATACCACCAAAAGCAGAGACGACTGAAAGGATTATAACGATCACAGAAAAAAAACTCCACACATTTAAAAAGGCATCCTCTGTCCTGCAGTGCCCCACTTGAGCATCCAAGTTGTTCCACATTTGTTTTTTTTTATTTTTACGATGTGGTCACCCTTGAGATAACTATTATGCTAATGCAATGCTAATGAATAAGGTTGCTATTATCTAGGTTAAAAAAATCATATAAGAACCCTAACTCAATAACTACTACAATGTATGATAATAGTGGAAAAAATTAAATATGTTATGCTATTTTAATGTTATGTATTTACTAATGTCAGTAGAAAGGGCTCCGGGTCAGGTAGCTTCTTTGCTAATTGATGTCCATTATGTAAAGGCCATAAACTTACCATTCTAATTTAAATACAAAACAGCAAATAAGAAATAAATATGCCATCTGGATTTAATTCATGCAAATACATTCAATGAGAATAAGGTCTTTGTTTAAGTTTACTTCTTTGCCCTTTTTACTTCCTAGTACTTGGATACACTTCATATGGCTTTATACCAACCACATGTAACCTGACATATTTATTGTTAATTAATACCAAAATTTTGTGTGGAAATCTAGGTTTCTGTTTTATTTCATAACTCTTAATCACCAGAAAGAGTTTTTGTATGTTAATCAAGAAGCACTTTACAACCACTTTAAAATGAGCAAGAAGTTGCTATGGTAACTTGGTGTTGAAACATTACAGAAGTAATGTAAATGAAATACTTGCCTGCAGTGGACTATGATGGGACATGATCGACCCCGGTAGCACTTATTAACTTTCCTATAAGACAAAACAAAAATGAAAAACAGTTAGTCATATCATCAATACCAGAGATGGCAAAAGGACTCACTTTCCGTACTTGAGTAAAAGTACAGATACTTGTGTTAAAAAATACTCTGGTAAAAGTGGAAGTACTGATTAAAATTCTTTACTCAAGTAAAAGTAACAAAGTACAGGCTTGTAAATTTACTTAAAGTATAAAAGTAAAAGTAGAAACCACTTTTTTCATGCCGTTGCCTACATTTTAAATGGATGTCTGCCAATAGGACTAGATCTCCGTTGTGTTCATTTTCAATCATCTCGTCGTCCATGCTACTATGCTAACGCCACCGCCACCAAGCTGCAATGATTTGCTGCCAATGAATACCGCCGAATCTGTCGATTCATCTTGTAGTGGTGCGTCAAATGCAACGTATATCCAATTAGATTGAATTTGATATTGATGACGTGAAAAATAATAACGGTAACTCCATTGAAATGATTCAAAACTAAAGTAACGAGCCAATTTTTTTAAATGTAAGGAGTAGAAAGTACAGATATTTGTGTAAAAACGTAAGGAGTAGAAGTAAAAAGTCACCATAAAAATAAGTAGTAAAGTAAAGTAAAAATATCAGAAAAATCTACTTAAGTACAGTAACAAAGTATTTGTACTTCGTTACTTCCCATCTCTGATCAATACACAAACAAACAACTGATTCATGGTCTAAAAAAAATCCTGACAAAACAAATTCCGATTCGATTTGCTATTTAGTCCAAATGGGTAGACTCATCCCTGCTTTATAAGCCAAATACTTCAAACACAAGCTTTTACTCAAATGGAACATTTTTGAACAGAGAACTGAAAATCACTTGACCTGAGTTCAGAAATCAAACAAAGTGATGAAATTGTATCGCAACAGACAATCAATAGTTTTCCAAACATACTGATCCTCTGAAGAAGACATTGTTGTGTTCAAAGATGTCCCATTAATATATAAAGCAAATCAAAGCAGGTTATTGAAGGTCTGCGTTTCTTTTTGAAGATCTGCATTAAAAACAGTTCATTTTCTTCAAAAAAACAACACAGATCGATGGATCTGCTAAAAACATGAATCTGCTGTCTGGGTAAGAGTCAGAAAGGCTGAGTTTGATCCCAGCTGGAGATATTTGAATGTTTTTTGTTGTTTTTTTTCCAAGATGACACCTCTGAATAACAATATTTAACTAAATGAAATTTTGTAACTACTAACAGCATCACCATCAGGGAAATAAAAATCTCTTTTTAAAATTTCAAACCAATATTTTATTCAGTACTTTATGTTTTAAGTAAAATGTACAACTTTTGAAGCAAAAACAAGGTATCTTATAAGACTGATGGGGAACTATGCCATAAACTTGGCTAACTGTACACATTTTAATAATTAAACATTTGAAAACCTTCATGAAAATACAGTAATTAACATATTTTAATGTCCAAACACCAATAATGGCAGTTTGAGCTTTGATTACTTCACTGAACAGCTTTTTCAAATATATCTAGGGCAATACCGGTATGGGACTTTATCAAATTGGCCCAGCAGTGTCTTTTCTTCTTGAGAAAGTGAGAAGAAATAAACTTCCTTCACCTCTGCTGAGAAACCTTTACTGCTGCACAACAGAGCGCATCTCGACAAATGGATTTATAGATCATTATGCCAGCTGCAATGCATCAGAGAGGAAACAACAGCAGTGGTTCATCAGGACTGCTCAGTGAATCTTTGGCTACCCACTACCACACTGAGAGCAGATGACCTGCTTCTGTCTCCTACAACGTCAGACCAGGAAAACCCAGTCCACCCAGGGCAGATTCTTTTTGCTAGCCTCTCCTCTGTTGGACTCAAAGGCATGTGAGCCTGCACCACCAGACTGAAACACCGCTTTTTCCCATAACTGTACAAATCAGGGCTGTGGAAACACATACAGTACATAGAAGAGCACACACCAGCAGCAAAAGTAGATGCTGCTAAGCAATACCTAATCTTTATAATTCCTTTTGTTCAATTATTTTTTTCCTTTTAAGTTTCTGGAAAGATAGGTATAAATATTTATGGGAATTTTTGAACATTAATTATAGCTCCGTGCACGGTGGCACAGGTTGTAGCCCCTTTGCCTTGCAGCAAGAAGGTTCTGGGTTCGAATCACATCCCAGTGCCTTTCTGCATGGAGTTTGCATGGTCTCCCAATGCATGCGTGGGTTTTCTCTGGGTACTCCGGCTTCTACTCCTAACAGTCCAAAAACATGACTGTTAGGTTAGCCTCTTAATATCCACCTTATTTCTGGGAAATTCACCTATTTTGCATACCCAAATGGAAAAGCAAATAACTGAGGAACTGTAAGCCCAAATTACATGTGTGATATGTTATTTGAAAGCGAACACCTTCTAGTTTCTGAATATATACATGGAAATTGGGTGAGTAAAACACCCAAGCTGCATCAAGCCCAAGCTTCATCCATTCAAACATGACTCAAAGTTGTTTTTTTTCAAAAATAATAGGTCTTCTTTGAACAGCAGTGATAAAGACATGCTTGCTTGTTGTGGCTGCTTTGTCATGCTACATTTCGACATGCTGTTATAATTGTGCTTTGGTGCTCGCTATGTCCATAAAATGAACTTGGTGGTTGAATTGTAGAGAATCTAAGCTTTCCAACGATGTCTAACATGTCTATATTGGTTAACATTTTATTTGTGTAATTTTCATGCATTCTGAATTATTGTATGTAAACACTTTAAAACTGGTTTTGAGAGGTTAACTGGCATATCTAAATTGTCCTTAGGCGTGAGTGTGTATGGTTGTATGTCTTTCTCTGTCTCTGTGTTGCCCTGCAACAGTGCTCAGCTGTCCAGGTTGTACACCGCCTCTCGCCCGGAGATAGGCACCAGCCCCAACGCGACCCTGGAGGAATAAGCAAGTGAAGATGGATGGATGGATTCATTATTGCTCCGTTTTTCACCATGGTCTTTTGGGACTCATCTTCCATTAAAGAATAAGATTATTTAACTCAAATGTTTCAACTGATTAATAAAGGAATTTGGATCTCATAATCCAGTTACTGGTAAGTATTTATTTGACACTCCGGCTAACATTTTTTTAAATGGTTCTCAGTACTTAAGGGCAGCTGTTCTATTTGCCCAAACCACAAAGTTTATTTCTTCAAATGTTTCTCTTAATCCTCTTTTCTTAAGGTTGTCCCTATTAAAACTAATATGAAACTACAGAGAGATCCAATGGTCAAAAATTCTGCTGCAAACATTTAAAGTCAGGAAAATCAAAACATTTCTAGCAAAACTACGAAGATGCATGGAAAAGAAAAAGAAGTCTGTTGAGGTGAAAACTAAAGCATTATTTGACATCTTTACTTTACCAAGAACATAAAACAACAGACACAGCAAGAAAACATTCTTCTAAAAAAAAACAACTTATAACCTCTGACTAGCAATCATTCATTTCCTTAGCTGATAATATAATTGTTTATTCAGTATGACATAAAGCTACAGTAGTTATTCCAGACGAACAAGATCCATATAACTGGTTATTTGTATTCAGGCAACTAAATAACCTGGTGAAAGCAAATGTAACCCTTAGCCACAAAATCTGCATTTCTTAAGGTAAAAAAAATCAGTACTGAAACAGTATTAAAACACCTACTTATACATGTATAAAAAAAGGGTGTGTTTTTTTTTCTTTACAAGACTAGGAAATCATAGTATTGTCTTACAGAGCTTATAAAAGTTATAATAGTTTGCATTTAAAATTTAAATCCAAGTAGGTTCTACAAATTTTTAAAAACCCATGCCGTATACAATTAGGATGATACTGATAAAGGGACCCCCCCAGCATATTTCCAATTTTTGTATAAAAGCAGTTTTATGTCTTTTTAGAATAATTTAAAGTAGCAGTGGTCAAATAAATTTGAAAGATCCCACCCCAGAAACAAACAATCTGAATCATTTTGTGTAATAAAGGTGCCAGTTTGGCTTTGATTGCTACAAAAACGAAAAGTTTCCATCATTTGGATCTGATGAAAAGAGGTAGAATATTAATTTTAAGTTTTCAATTACAACAAAAGGAAATTTGTTGAAGAATAATATCAACAGGAGGCTATTAGTCTGTCTGAAATGGGCCTAACAGAGCAGCATCATGTATCAGTCACCAAACAGAGCAACGGCAACTTTTAACATTAACTTAAGGTTGTCTTTTTTTGGCAGGGATAAATGAACAGCAACAAAGAAACCAAAGTCAATAAGTCTCCCCACCTAATACAAAACCTCACACAGAATCAGCAGAGCCCCCTGAGGACAATACTAATGATGTTACCATGGAAACAGCCAGGAGAGGATCACCAACAAGCAGGGTGGGCGGTTGAATGGGTGTGGGAGTAAAGAGATTGCTATAATCAGAGGAAATGCCTTTGGAAGTCAGATTAGTGGGCCGATAAAGAAAAAAAATGTACAGACTGATGACCACTTGGTTAAAGTTTAAGAGAAGTAGGTGAGAGGAAAATCAAATCAAATCAAAGATGAAAGACTACAGATAATGGCACATTGAACAATGCAGTAAAACTCTTATAAAGACTTAGGAAAATGAAACATGTTTCTGTTGGAAACTATACTTTGTATAAGTTTGCATCTTTAAAAATGTGTCTTTTCAAAACACAGAGAAAGTGTTGCTCTTTTAAAGAGCAGCAAGACAACATACCAGAGTTTCTAGAGTTTTTTTTTTTTTTTCAAACTGTACCATGGCTTTGATACCTCTCCTTCACTTGTTACTGGTTTGTGTGGGCCACCTGACAAAAGTTGACTTTTGTACTTCTTTCTGCCCTTAAAACAAAGATGTTAATAAATGTTTTATGGATTAAAATCCGAATGATCCACAATATTTCCATGGAGAGGTACACATACTCTCATAATCCAACAAAACAAATAAATGCTTAATATTTATTATGTTGATGAGGAGAAAAAACTCAGAAGGAGAAAAAAATC